CTCCCCTCCTCCCCGCCTTTGTGTGTGAGTTTTGTCCCAGCTCAGTCCCCATAAACCCAAACGTCTTTATTTGATAATAACAGCCTGGTGGCTGTTGTGGTTTTACCCAGTGGAAAAGCACACAGTATAAAGGTTGTTGTTGAGCAGATTGTGCCAAGAGGATGATTACATTTGATGACCTTGTATTTATTTCAATTAGTGTGAAACTGTATCCACCATGATTTTTTTAGTCTGCTCACATGTCCCTTTGCTGGTCATCTTTTTTTAAATGATGTGATTCCTCTCTTGCTGTCTAGGCTTAGCACTGGCCTGTAATTGGGATATTCTGACTGTCTGTTCCTTATGTACACCATGTCTTGATTATAGTAAATTAGCCAAATGCAACATACATATGTGTATATATATATATACACATATGTGTATATATATGTATATGTATATATATATATATATCTACTAAATTATATACCACTAGTATGTCCACGAATGCACAAATACGAAGTTCAAATGAATGCCTTTCTCATTCTGGCCTTGAAGGTCTGAGGGCATTTACATTGTGGGTATACACTTTCATGAGTATAACCCGCACACGTCCTTGATGAGAGGTGAATTTATGGAGCCTGTAATATAGTTGAATGCTTGAAAGGAATGTGTTGGATGTAGACATGTGTATTGGGAATACACACCTGACGCTGTATAAGTGTTTGTTATAAATGTGTCTGTGTGTGTGTACCCTCCTGTCTCCTTTTTCCCAGCTCGATTTATAACGATTATGTTTCCAGTGTTTGGAAGATCAAAACAGTAGAGTTCCTGTTCTTTGGTTTAAAATAACTTTCGGACTTCAAATTCATGTGCCCCTCCCTACTCATCTTCTCTTACTGCACTCTCCTAACCCTCTCCCTTTGCTTGTTTTTCTTCCCCATTCCTCATTTTTTTCTTTCTTCTTCTGTTATGGACAGGCCGTACACCTGCGCTCTTTTCTTTTTCTTCATCTTCATATCTCGTCCTTGCTACACACCCACACACACACCACCACACACACACACCACACCACACACTCATACAACACATGCATACAACTCACCATTACCCACATAGAAACACATGCTGGTAATAATTAAAGATATACACATGCTCATTTCCATACAAGAACAGAGTTGTCAAGGCAAACGCAAAAGACAACAATGAAGACAATTAAGAAAGAGAATCAAAACATAATTTATATACATAAAATACATGCAGACAAAGTTACGAGAAAAACAAGGCCTGTGAGTAACTACTTGTGTAACCTCGCATTTACTCAAAGCACCACTGTGCCTAAATCGGCACGCTAACATGCTAATGTTGAGTTCATTTACTGTTCACTAATGCCTCCCATCTGAGTTATTGCCTGTTACATGATAACATTGTGCTGATTAACACAAAGTAGCTACACGCTAGGCTCTGGGAATTGTTGTTAGTTTTGCACATGAGCGTGAAGTACGGGTGCTGAGGGGGCTGCAGCACGCCCTAAAATCTGACATAATGAAAGACTGTTAGTTTTATAAACATGTTTAAACTTATTAAGACTTGATATAACTTTACACAGACAATGTGCTCTTGTGTGGCAAAATACAAATAATAGAGAATAAAACAAGCCTTTTATGTAAGTGTTTGCCTTAATTTACATCAAATCAAAATCCTTAAATCCTGATACCCGAACTTGACGAAAGTGCTCTATGCTGCGTATATCTGTGTACATATTCATATCAGTGTGTGTGTTCTGTACACTGCGCCATATAAACGAGTTAGAGCAGTGTACGCAGCCAGTGTGGCAGCAGCACTCTCTGAAACAACACTCCAACACCTGTCTTCTCTGCTCCTCCTCTCCACTTCAATTCCTCTCGTGTACAAACACACCTCTTTCTCACAGACAGACAGAAGCTCTCTCACCACCTTTCTGGTCTGACTCACAATGTTGTAGCTCTTTGTGACGGAGAGCTGCTTTTGTTCAACTGAAACTCTCTCTACTATACTGTGTCCCTACTTACTCTCTTTTTGCCTGATATTTCATGCATGTGCCTCACACCTCTCCCTCTCCGCCTCACCCGCCCCACCCCCCCCCCCCCCCCAGTTCTGTCAGTCTTGTATTTCCACTGACTTGTTTTTGAAGGTTTGATCTGTTTCTCACCTGCCGTTGCTCGCCTTCCCCCCCGCCCCCCGTTACCCTCTCCCTACCCCTGCACCTCCAACCATTCCTTTGACTTTTTAATAGTAGTGACAGGGAGGTTTTCCACCGAACTCTTAAAGCAGACTTGTGTCACTTTAACCATTGCGGGCTGACGTTCGCCGTCCACTCAGAATGTGAAGGTCACAGTGCAGGGCAACTTCCCAGTAGCAGTGTCTCGTATCCCCAAGAGCGAATGAATGCCTCTACTTTGGTGTGTTGGAAATTCTGCATGTTTGTTTATTATGTCTAGGATGGAAGCCACCGAGCTCAAAGTGGAAAAGACACATTCTTTGATGAGTCAATGGAACGTAATATGAATACAGCAAAAACACATTTCTCTCTCTGTATGAGTGTGTGTTGTGAGGGTGGGTGCACACACACACACACACACACACAGGCTTCAGAGAATCCAGTGGTTTTTTTCTTCGTTTTCTCTCTACATATTGGGTTTGTTTACGTGGGCTTGTTACATCACCTCCGCGCACTGACAGAGAGAGATGGATTGTGTGGGAAGAGGATGGAAGTTTGGTGAATACATAATTTTGCTCTGTGTGTGTGTGTGTGCAGGTCTCTGTGAGCGTGTGAGCACATACTGTATGATGAATGTAAGATAGTGTGTTATTAGCCACAGGTTGTGAACGTCAATAATATGTCATATTTCCACATTAAAATGTCTTAAAATGAACAGACCTATGTTAGACTGTACATTTTAAAAACCCACAAGGTTGTTTACCAATACTTACAGGATAAAAGAACATTCAGTCTGTTGGACAATAACATTTTTCAAGTTTCAACTGTATCATCAGTCTGTCGGTCAGTAATTCAGTCGATCCACCAAAATGTTGGACAGCCTGTCCAAAAGAAAAGCCTGTTAATTCATTTAAAAATATAACAGTATCAAAAATATAGACAAATATAACTAATGTTTTCTATTTTGTTCACATTATATAAATCAACAACTGGAAAAAATAGAAAATAGAGTCCTTGAGGATTGAGGAAATACTGTCAGAAGAGCGCAAAGAGGTTTTAGGTGACTTTCTGGGAGTTTATTTAAGATGCTTTGGTCAGTGATGAATGTAATGTATAAGAGGCACAAAATGTGCTTTTGTATGTCTGTGTTAAGTGTATGAATGTGAGTCTATATGTGCACAAGTTAATATACTGAAGTTATTAGAATTTCTATTCGTTTTTTATTTAGTTTTTAATTTTTGTTTTCATTTCAGTTTAGTTTTCAGTTAGTTTCCAGAGTGTTTCAGGTTCATTTTTATTTTTCAAAAATGTTAAAATTTAGTTTTCTTTTTTATGAGTTTAAGTATTAGTTTTAAACCAGTAATATGAGGTAATTTGTCAGGGTCAAAATAGGTATTACAATACAAACACATTGACTCACAGTCATGTCAACACCCCAGTCTCAGTAAACAAACGCACCAATGCCTCTTCTTGTTGACAAAAACCCAAAAGACATTTCTTGTATAGTTTTATTTCAGGTTTTTTGTTGTTGTTAGTTTTGTTACTACACAATATTATTTAAGTGTAGTTTTTATTTGTATTTCAGTGAACAAAAAAAATTTTTCACATTGAGTTTTAGTTTTTAGTTTTACTCAACTCTAATAACCTCGGCCTGTGCAGCACAAGCCTACTGAATGCATCGCTCTACATGTGATCCTTTTGTTAAGTGCAGAGGGTGGTTTATAGGGGATGAAGGGGGATGATATCTCCCCTGTTGACACAAATGACTGCAAGCATCCCCCTGCTTAATGATACATTTTTGGGAAACTGCAAGGGAAAACAACAATTTAGCCACCCACAATCCCTCTCACTGAATCTCAACAAGCAGCCCACTGCGTGTTCCTAGGAACAGTTTAATGTTAGTGTGTTTGAGGGTACATAAATGTGGAATATGTATTTAACCCTTTCACATAGAGTATCAGTGTGTATGTTAGCCACCAGCTCAGGTACTGTAGATGTCTGGTTTCCTGTGTGCGTGTCTGCGGGGATGACAGGAAGATTATCCAGGCGGTCCTCGCCTCCGCTCTGCACTCTTCAATGAAAACCTTAAACCAAACCAACTAAATTCTTGTCTGTTTACATGGGTAGCTGATGGTGCGTGTGTGTACGAGTGTGTGTGTGTGCAGCGAGAGGTGGCCTGGGAACCTCTGAGTAGGTAAAGGGGATGTGGGGGCTAAAGACAGGATATGGAGGGAGGAAAAGAGAGTGATGAATTGCACGGGAGATTATCATAATCATTTTCAACATCACTATCACTCAATCACGTAGTTGTACTCCGCTCCAAGGAACACTCTGCTCTCCTTGTACATGTACTTTATCTGTCCAGCTCTTGTCTAAAAGTATTTTTATAAAGTGGGGGAAGGAAATTCCTAGCTGTTTTCCATGGCTGCCCCGAGTATTAATGTAGCACAGACTAGCAGCTGAGTATATTTATTTTACTTTTCACAAAGCAGCAGCCGGACAGAGGTATGCGTGTGAAAAGAACTTTAAAGCATCAAAAATATTATTTTCGCTCAAACATAAATAAATAAACACCCAGAAGCCAGGTCCTCTTTGGAATGTAGTAATTCTGAATTTTTATGAATGACTGCATTCATGCTTGGCCACGCCCCCTCGCCAAACCTCAGCTCTCCCTGTCGGAGCTCCAAGCCCCGCCCACACCTCCCTCCCTGGTGGGATACCTTGGCCGGGCGCCTGCCTCCTAATTGGTTGAAGGAGGTCTCGGGTGGGCGTGGCCGCCATAAAAAGCACGGGGCTGATATAAAAACAAGCCTCAAACTTTGATCGATGAAAATTTACAAGTGATGGAGGACATTTGAGGACCATCGCGCGTGTCGGATTTAATCTTTGTGGACAAAAGCTATTGTTTCTGAGCCGGTGGAGGATTTATTCTTCTGTGATATAAGGTTTTTTTTTGTTTTTGTTTTTTGTTTTCTCTTCTTCTATGTGAATCAGCTGACAGCATGGGGATACTGCTATTATTTGCTGTCCTGCAAGTGGTGACGGTCGGCTTGGTGAGTGTGTTGACGTTTCTTTTCTGTCGCTGCTTCATGTAAACACTGAGGAATAAAAGACTCACGTGTCTGTACTCTACTGTAACTGCAGCGGATTTGAGCTGCTGTCGTCTGGTAACATTCAGCCATACAGCCTAATCTTCCATCCATCTCCTTGTTGTACAGTGCTGCATGTCAGAATAATGGTCTAATGAAATCCTGCCCTCTCTTCAGCTGTGGGGTTTTTTTCCTTCCAAAATGGGGGGTTTGGGGACCAGTAGAGGTCTTTGTGGGATGTTTCAGGGGGTCCTCAGTAAAATTGGTATCAGGATATTTAAGGATAAGAGTGCTCAAAACTTTCCAGGTTCAGTAAAAAGCACTTCTTAATTCATAAATGGCCCCCGTAAGTATTGTATATTATATTATTGGATGCATTAATGTGTAAATAGCAATTTCCTGTTGTCAATTTTAACTATTTTATTTACAGTTGGGTAGGTTTAATCTTTAATAATAATTTTCTAATATATCATAATGTCTTTTGTATGTAAAATCATAATCTGGAAAGTATAAAGTAACTAATGTTGTTATATGTTGAAGTGGAGTAAAAAGTACAATATTCCCCTCTGAAATATAGTAAAGTAATATTTGGATTAAAGTACAAGCAGCTCAACTTTGTACTTAAGTACTTATTCCACCTATTTCTACCACATACTTTATCCTCATTTACATCTAAATAAACTGATCAAACTTGTTTCTATCAGGAGTGTTTGTAAGTGTTTAAACGGTTTCTTAACCTGAAAAAAACAATTCACCCTTTTACAAACTATATGATCATAAAGTGGTTAAGTGTTATAAAATTACCCTACAGTAATATTATACAACAGTAATACAAATGGAGACCAAAATACACTGAGGTCAATATGAACTCCCTGCACAATATAAATATCTACAGGAATATTGTGGGACTTTTGATTAGGGGATGATTGAAGTACCAGGTTAAACCCAACGGTAATGCTAAAAATGGAAAGCTGTTGTCACTGCACTGTGTAATGTCATATCCAACCTTCATGCCCACCCGAGACCCACAAGAGTGATTTGAACCAGTGATGGCGGCACGCCAGGACCTGGTCTGGGTTTAGACAGAGTCAGGAAGGGATCCCTTTAGTTGATCTGACTGTGGACAGTCAGGCTGGCAGCTCTCTGTGATCTCAATACCTGCTGGGGGTTGTTGGAGCTGCTCTGGTGTGTGGGTGGGGACTGAGAAACAAAAGATGTAGGAGCAGGAAGGTTGGGGTTGGGGTTGGTGGTGGGTTGTGCTTTGGGTCCGAGAACGTACCTTTCATCCCTGCTCTCCCGTCGAATGCCAAGCGGAAGGCGACAGAGGGTTACAGATATCCCTGTGGGGCTTGGGACAGTGCTGGGTATTCACCAAATGCTTAAGCCTCACACACTTTGAGGAATTTCTGTGATCTGTGTAACATGAGTCAAACTATTGTCCAGTGTGGCTCCTCCTTACATGGAAAATGCACTGTATGAAGTTGGTTTGCCAATATTCAGGTTAACTAAAGTGTCCCCTCCTGTAGGTGACTGCTGGCTGTCCGGTGGTGTGCGAGTGTCCGGCGGGGCCTCCATCCTGTCCCCCAGGGGTCAGCTCAGTCCCAGACGGCTGCGGCTGCTGCAAGGTGTGTGCCGCTCAGCTCAACCAGGATTGCCACGAAGGACGACCATGTGACCACCATAAAGGCCTGGAGTGCAACTATGGCAACGATGTGGGCCGTACCCACGGCATCTGCAGGGGTACGTACCACAGAGGAGGTGGGAATGCTGAAAGAGAGAAGGGAAGTGGCAAGGCAGCGGGGGG